ATACCTTCAAAAATCAGACAATATCACCATATTTTTTTTTTTTTTTTTAATTACTCACCATTTTCATAAAAAAAAACATTCAGTTCAAAAAAAAGCTATTTCTTTCACCCCCTCAGACTCCCCTCCCCCTCCCCCACCCCACCCACCCCACCCCACCCCACCCCACCCCCATCCCCCCATTCCCCCCAAACAACTTTCCCAAAAGAAAAACACGCCTTCAACGACCCCTCATGTCCTCATTCTAATCCTTAATCCTTATTCCCCCAGGGTTGCCGTCTTGGGGTATCGCCTGGTGGATAAACGACTTGCTTATCCCCGAGATATACGTGGAAAGAGGACAGACTTACTACTTCACTGTCTACGGCGGCAATGATAAGCTGAATAGCCCGACGTAAGAACGGTGGTCGTGTGCGTCTGTATTGTTTGAGTGTATTGTGTGTGTGTGTGTGTGAGGGGGGAGGAGGGGAGGGAGGAGGGAGGGAGGGAGGGAGGGAGGAAGGGAGGGAGGAGGGAGGGAGAGAGAGAGAGAGAGAGAGAGAGGGGGGGAGAGAGAGAGAGAGAGAGAGGGGGGGGGAGAGAAGGAGGGAGTGAGAGAGAGAGAGAGGGGGGGGGAGTCAGTGCCAAAGTGTATGTGTGTGTTTGAGAGAGAGTGAGAGAGAGAGAGAGGAGGGAGGGGGAGAGAGAGAGAGAGAGAGAGAGAGAAAGAGAGTGAGGGGAGGGAGAGAGAGAGTGAGAGAGAGAAAGAGAGTGAGGGAGAGAGAGAGAGAGAGTGAGAGAGAGAGAGAGAGAGAGAGACAGAACGAGAGAAAGAGAAAGAGAGAGAGTCAGTGCCAAAATTTGTACGTGTGTTTGAATAATAATGCATATACATGCATCCCTTGATATGCATTGTTTTTTTGTTTTTTTTAATGGAAACCAAATCAAGAAGCCAAACTACTCCACACACTACTTTATTTTTTATTTTTGTTTCTTATTCCTACATTCATCATGCTCCTCCTTTTTGTTCTTTTTTGCATTCGTGTGTCTTTTTTATTCCTTTCTTTCTCATTCTCTTCTTTATTTTTGTTCCTCTTTGTTTTATTGGATCATTTTTATTCATCTTTCTCATCCTCCTCTTGATTTTCGTTCTTCTTTGTCTTTTTTATTCCTTTTCTCATTCTCCTCTTGATTTTTCTCCTTCTTTCTATTCTTGGATCTTTTTTATTCCTCTCTTTCATTCTTCTCTGTATTCTTAGGTCATTTATTCCTCAATTCCTCATTTTCCTCTTGATTTTTCTTCTTCCTTGTATCCTTGGGTCTGCTTTATCCCTCTCTTTATCATTCTCCTCTTGATTTTTGTCCTTTGTATTTATTCTTTTTCATTCCTCTCTCTCACTCTCCTCACGATTTCAGTCCTTCTTGTCTATCTTTGTATTTCTTCTCTTTTATTCCTCTCCTTCTCATTCTCTTCTCGATTTCTGTCCTTATTTTCCTTCATTGTGTTTTTCTTCTCTCTTTTCTTCCTCTCTCTCTCTCATTCTCCTGTCGATTCTTGTTCTTCTTTGTATCCTTGGACCTTTTTTATTCCTCTCTTTCTCAGTCTCATCTTCATTTTTCCTCTTCTTTGTATATATTCTCCTTTCTTCCTCTCTCTCTCATTCTCCTCTCGATTCTTCTCCTTCTTCGTATTTCTTCTTTTTTACTCCTCTCTCTCTAATTCTCCTCTCGATTTCAGTCCTTGTCCATCTTTATATTTCTTCTCTTTTCTTCCTCTCTCTCTCATTCTCCTCTCGATTTCTGTCCTTCTTTTCCTTCATTGTATTTTTCTTCTCTCTTTTCTTCCTCTCTCTCTCTCATTCTCCTGTCGATTCTTGTTCTTCTTTGTATCCTTGGACCCTTTTTATTCCTCTCTTTCTCAGTCTCATCTTCATTTTTCCTCTTCTTTGTATTTATTCCCCTTTCTTCCTCTCTCTCTCATTCTCCTCTTGGTTCTTCTCCGTCTTCGTATTTATTCTCCTTTCTTCCTCTCTCTCTCATTCTCCTCTCGATTTCAGTCCTTGTCCATCTTTGTATTTCTTCTCTTTTCTTCCTCTCTCCTTCATTCTCCTCTTGATTTCTGTCTTTTTCCTTCTTTGTATTTCTTCTCTTTTATTCCTCTCTCTCTCTCTCTCATTCTCCCCTCGATTTCAGTCCTTGTCCATCTTTGTATTTCTTCTCTTTTCTTCCTCTCTCTCTCATTCTCCTCTCGATTTCAGTCCTTGTCCATCTTTGTATTTCTTCTCTTTTATTCCTCTCTCTCTCATTCTCCTTTCGATTTCAGTCCTTGTCCAAATTTGTATTTCTTCTCTTTTATTCCTCTTTCTCTCATTCTCCTCTCGATTTCAGTCCTTGTCCATCTTTGTATTTCTTCTCTTTTCTTCCTCTCTCTCTCACTCTCCTCTCGATTTCAGTCCTTGTCCATCTTTGTATTTCTTCTCTTTTCTTCCTCTCTCTCTCATTCTCCTCTTGATTCTTGTTCTTCTTTGTATCCTTGGACCTTTTTTATTCCTCTCTTTCTCAGTTTCATCTTCATTTTTCCTCTTCTTTGTATTTATTCTCCTTTCTTCCTCCATTTCTCATTCTCCCCTCGATTCTCCGCCAGGTACCACCCCCTCTACATCACCAACAGCCCCGAAGGAGGTTTTGGCCAGAAGACAGTCGAGGAACAGAAGCAAGAGAGAGTCTTTGCCGGGATCTCGTACTCTAAGATGGGAATGCCGGACGCGACTGCAGGTAAAGATAGATTAAAAGATAGATAAAGATAAGATTGATGATGATGATGATGATGATGAGGTAAAAATATATTAAAAGATAGATAAAGATAAAATTGAGAAAGAGGAGGAGGTAAACGTAGATACAGAATAGATAAGATTGATGATGATGGTGATGATGCAAATGCAGGTAAAGATAGATTAAAAGATAGATAAAGATAAGATTGAGGAGGAGGAGGAGGAGGACTGCAGGTAAAAATAGATACAAAATAGATGATTGATGATTCGTGTGATGGAGGAATGCCGGACGCAGCTGCAGGTAAGAATAGGTTTAAAAGATAGATAAAGATAAGATTGAGGAAGAGGAGGAGGTAAAAGTAGATACAAAATAGATAAAGATAAGATTGATGATGAGGAGGACTCTGCCCCGGACGCAGCTATAGGTAAAAATAGATTAAAATATAGATAAAGATAAGATTGATGATGATGATGAGGTAAAAGTAGATAAAAATAGATAAAGATAAGATTGAGGAGGAGGACTCTACCCCGGACGCAACTGCAGGTAAAAATAGATTAAAAGATAGATAAAGATAAGATTGAGGAGGAGGAGGACTGCAGGTAAAGATAGATACAAAATAGATAAAGATAAGATTGAGGAGGAGGAGGACTCCAGGTAAAGATAGATACAAAATAGATAAAGATAAGATTGAGGAGGAGGAGGACTCCAGGTAAAGATAGATACAAAATAGATAAAGATAAGATTGAGGAGGAGGAGGACTCCAGGTAAAGATAGATACAAAATAGATTAAGATAAGATTGAGGAGGAGGAGGAGGAATGCCGGACGCAGCTGCAGGTAAGAATAGGTTTAAAAGATAGATAAAGATAAGATTGATGATGATGATGAGGTAAAAGTAGATACAAAATAGATAAGATTGATGATGGTGGTGATGATGCAACTGCAGGTAAAAACAGATTAAAAGATAGATAAAGATAAGAATGAGGAGGAGGAGGAGGAGGATGCAACTGCAGGTAGAAATAGATTAAAAAATAGATAAAGATAAGAATGAGGAGGAGGAGGAGGACTCTACCCCGGACGCAACTGCAGGTAAAAATAGATACAAAATAGATAAAGATAAGATTGATGATTCGTGTGATGGAGGAATAGAGGAATGCCGGACGCAACTGCAGGTAGAAATAGATAAAAAAGAATAGATAAAGATAAGATGGAGGAGGAAGAGGAGGAGGACTCTACCCCGGACGCAAGTGCAGGTAAAAATAGATACAAAATAGATAAAGATAAGATTGATGATGATGATGACGCAACTGCAGGTAAAAATAGATTAAAAGATATATAAAGATAAGATTGATGATGATGATGATTCGTGTGATGGAGGGATGGAGGCGTATGTAGGGGGATTGATGGTGTGGATATATGAGGATTGCCTTCAGAGATTGTAACTTCAGGATTTAGTTGAGATTTTGTATCGTGTCACAATTTGCTCTCTCTCTCTCT